AGGGTTCAGGTCTTCATAGCGGAGCCATATTATGTGAACTTGTTGCTATGCCAGTATCGAAATAGTGCAATTTTTTAGATTCGCTATATTTAAACCCCTCACATTGAACTATTACAGCGTTAATCTTAGCAGTGACTGTTGAAGGTTTCTTATTGCGTAAAATTATGAACGCGATTAAATTGCACGACTTAGTTTTGTTCCTAATGCCAGCTGCGGTCTTGTGTGCTTAAGAACTGGTCCGATTGCTGATAAAATAATCATATTATGTAGCCAAATTTTTTCATAATAAATAAACACAGTTTTGGGGTTCCATATGAGATAGAAATGTCTAGAATAGAATTTATTTTTCTCTCTATTTTACTCCCGCTTAGGCGATCCTTTTCAAAGATGACATTGAGGTATGTGCTTAACATTGTACGCGAGCTTCGACGAAGCACCGTTTCCTTTTTTAGTACAATACATTTTCAAGTGACTAATGTTACCAATCTACCCATTCTAAATAATTCCCCATCTACCGCACCTTGCAACCTATTGAAGAATAATTTCCAGAAATAACCGGTATACATAAATCTAGCATATGTCGCCCAAGTAATTACTTGTTGATTGGATTATGTGGCTAATGTTACGACAACGAAAGTACGTTTATTTGGAGTCTACAGAGATGGTAGCTTCAATTAGTGGAATATACTATCCCCACGATGTTCGTCCAACTCATTCGTCTACAAAATTGAATAAGCTCATTTTTTGCTAATCACGGCGCATCTGCTTTATTTTCAGAATAATTTCCATTTGAACTGACTCGCATTAGTTAAGCTGATTGACCTTTCCTTCCAACCGTATACTTTTTATAAGCTAAAGTGGAATACAGAATTTTTCACATGAACGCATTTACAATGTAGCACAGTCTAGGATACGAGGAAGCTGTTCATAATGCCAAAGACCGTGTTTTGTTTTGATAGCTGATTTTTCTTGTCAGGAATATTGAAGAAACTTCACTACATGAGTAGTAACTTACACATAAGACCACTATTAAGCACGAACTGGTGTCACTCGATACCAACAAAGCTTCTTGTTTAACATTATCCGAGATATTGAAGATATACAAGGTCATTGAATATGCAGCGGTAATAATTTTGGGGTAGCAAATAGGTCCAAAAGTGTCACAAAGCGTCATGGAAATATTGGTCCTGAAATACTTCTTTAATTTCAAAATCTTGTAAAAATTATCATCTCTGGATTGGAAAAATAATTGATCGATGCAGAACTAACAGAACAGGCATTATGAACAAAACATGTTGCAGCACCGATTAAATCATTGCAGTGTTGCAGAAAGTACGATTTTAAGGCCTTTACAGAAAGAAAAGGAAGCTTATTTTCTACGTTATTCACTTTTCGGAAACCTTTAATGCATTTTTAGATAAATTGTCTCTCTATGGGCTTTTTTGATCCCTCTGGGAATGAAAACATCCCAGTGAATACAATTGTTCATGATTTGAAGTAGCCAAAAATAATCTGTGAGAATCCGAAAACAGCAGAAAAATTTAGTGCACTGTCCCTAAAGTAGTCAAATCATTGAATACACGAAATGTTGGATATACACAGAACTACCCTAAACAGATGGTGGACAACATATAAAAAATACGTGTTTCGAAGATACCTATGAGTATCATTATCCACAAAATTTCCACCCTGTAATCAAACGTAGCCCAATCGAAGCTATTGTTTATAATTAGAAGTAGTCAAAAATACTTATTGCAAGTACGAAAAGTGCAGGCAAATTTTGAGTGTCTTCCCTAAAATACAATAGTCGCACATATTGAACAATAAACTACTATGCATGGAATGCTGATAGTTCACAGATGTATGAGAACTAATTCTGTGATAATTATGATTTACTGAAATTATTGAATACAAGCAATATCAGATATATTCAGATCTACCCCAGGTTAGGGGTGAAATGTCGTGAAACTGCATCTTCACATTTTTTCAATAAATACGTACCTTTGATCAAGAAATACGTTGATTGTATTTTGAGCCTCCCTGTATGTATCGGAGCTAGCTGGCGTTCTTTCACGTCTTTTCCAGTTCTGCGTCTCCAGCATTTTTCCAGGACTAAAAGCTAGGTCACACCCAATCCAAACTATAAGAAACCAACAGTTCTAAGCCCTACCTGTATAGCTATGATCTCTATAATTAGCAAGATGATGGAAAAGTGCTTCAACATGCAGCAAGCTTCTAAAGTATCTCAAGCATCATCGCTTGCCCAACGATAGTCAATACGGTGTCTGATATCAGCGATTATCTGAGGATCTCGTAGATTAAGTCAATGCATCACTTGAGGAACTGAGGAAACAATTGTGTAATCTAGTTTGTAGTTTTGAAAATCGTTTATGAATCTGTTATTGTTGTCTAAGCAGCTTTAAGATGAAACAAATGAATAGTTTTGAGACACGAAGGTGCTAAATGCTTACAACAACCTGCCTGATACCATTAAATCGTCTTTTGAATGGATATGTTTATGTTTTTCTGTAGTGCGTGGCTTTTCTTGTTTCGGAAACTGAACTGGAGGGAACACATTTTTACTGACAGGAAGCGGATGGGAATACAGATCCGTAAAATCCAATGGTAGATCGAAATTGTCATCAGAGAAAGATACTTCTGTCCAAGTCTCTCATCAAACCTGTCTGTCTGTGCATAAGTATGCAATTGTAGGGTACTATAGCGAAAAGCAACATTGGTATTCTTCAAAGATTCCAATCGAAAAAACTTACGTACTACACGTACCATACTGTTACCGTGACCTAAATATTCCTACTGTGAAAGATGTGTTACAACAAATACTGTGACAGATTAGCCATTCAACCTAACTTCTTTGCGGACAATCTAATGAAGAAAGAACAGTAAAAAGTGATAAGAGAAAGATTCTCTCCTATGCAGCTAAAAACAATTATGGACCAGTATGATAATTATTAATAATCTATTTACGACACAACTCTACCTTAGTCAATTTCATAAGGATGTATTACTAAATATATTCCTCCAATGTCCTCATAATTTGTCAAATATATTGCTGAATGTCTATACTACTCACAAGTCTTGTGAATAGTTACTACAATCCAATAATTTCTAAATCACGACATTTAGAGTGAAACACAATACATTACCCCATTGCCATAAATACTTTAAAAATGCTCCTGAGTAGGCACTTTTATATCTGCTAAATTTATTTTCTCTGCATTTGGATGGAATCCAAGAGCATTAAGCCAGCCCAGCGGTTTCAAAAAGTCTAACGATTCACGATTCAAGTCTACGATAAATAACGAAATGTTCATTATATTTCATGCCAGCAGTACAACCAAGCCTACCATGTACCATTGTTGCCAGCTCGAAAAAATTCAAGATTTTTAGAATATACTTAAATTTGGATAAACCAAAATTAGGAAGCATTGATTTTTCGAACACAAAAAAATAAAGAAGAAACATAAAAACGGATGAACATACAAACACGTTCGCTGCTCATTTTAAAGAACACCGGTGCTGAGACTGACAAAACTACTGTTTGTAAATGTTTTTGTTATTACGTGTTACTAGTTCAATATAATTCTTGTTTATGTAGTTTTTTCAAAGTTTCTTGCAAAAAAAAACATGACGCACATGTGGCGGCTTAAGCACTCGGCCATGATTTTAACCGCCCAGTGCTCACCGACGCCTATTTGGCGTCGCTAAGGACTGTTTATCAAATCTTGTTATTAAGTTTTAATGATATTATTGTAAAATCGTCACAAGAAGAAACAACAAATGTAACATCATCCCTATGTAAATACAAAAGTTACAATTCATAAACGTAATAAAATAAAAAAATATAGGTCCATTGTTCAACTAGAATAATAAAAAAACATGTTTGAAAACTAAATAGGTACATATTTCGTAAAAAGGGAACTAAGTATAAACAAATACATTATTCAAAATATGTATCTGATTTTACAGATTATTATGATATTCCTTAAAGCAAGGATCTAAACACAGTCCGGGTAGTTCCGGGCAACTCTTATAACAAAAGCTTGTATCTTTACGAACTCCACGTTTTGAACACCATCGACATTTTTTGCGCAGTCTTCTATCACCTGTGCCTTTTTCTAGTTTGGATGAACCATGTTGAAACCCTGTATTTTCTGTGGATGGAAATGGCTTCTCTTTGGCTTTAATTTCTGGTACCATTGCATGAACTACTGATTCACGATACTCTGGGAACGACATCTTTGGTTTAGAATATTTTTCGTATAACATATAGGAATTATATAACATGGTCTCTATAATATGAATTCCTACTTTTTTGTACCATCGTATGGTTTTACGATGGGAAGGATAGTAGGACTGCAATTGATCTTGTAAGTCGATACCCGACGTATATTTGTTGTATTGCATGATTGGGGCTGGTTTAATTTTATTGGTGCCAAATCTAGACAAAGCCATTTCCATTGTATTTTCATGCCCCGTAGTAATATAGAGTACCTCCCGTTTATCCTTCCATTTACCTATACACACACACACACACTTCCTCCATATCGATGAACGGATTCGCCAGGCTTTAGTTTCGCCTTACTTACATCCTCTGGAGATACATTTCTTCCCGCCCGCAAAGTACCCGTGCAGTACGTATTTTTCTATAACAGTTGTCTGGCAAGGGTTACAGAATTGTAATAATTATCCATGTATAGGCTGTATTCCTTATTCCAGTATTCTCATAAGATGCCGGACCACATTAGCAGCATGTCCTTTACCACCTAAATCATCAAGCAGCCCAGTATATATTTGCATATTTAAAACAATGCCATTTGACTCGGTGAGTAAATAAAATTGAATGCCGTACTTGTGTTTATTATTTTTTATGTACTGTCGGAACGCAAGGCGACCGCGCCATAAAAGCATCGATTCATCTGTTGAAGGGTTCTTGCGTGGGGAATAAACCGATTCCATTTTATTGTTGAAAACGTTGAGCAATGGTCGAACTTTGTATAGCCTGTCACTTTCCAAATCTCGAGAATTTTCAACAGTGTAAGCACCGCAAAATAATTAAGTATCGGTCTCTGCTCATATATTTTCTGATAGGCAAATTGAGAAAACGATTTGTACGCCAGTAGTCTCGCAATCTAGGTAATTGAAGAATTCCCATAAAAATTGTCAACCCCAAGAACATACTCATTTCTTCTTTCTCTATAGGTTTCATCAACTAATCCTATAGTTGGGTCCAGACGATTCGTTTAGTAGCACGTGTTCTGCGTAAATATTCGTTTGTTGTACTAAAATTTCAAAGAACTCGTCATCGGCCAGGAGTAAAAAAAATTAATAGGTTTTCCTTGATCAGGTATTGGTACATTTAATTGTTGCTTTCCAGTAAACTCAATTTGCCTAAGATTTGGGGGGTATTCTGTCCATACTAACTGTTGTTCATTTCCCACTTCATCCAACAGCTCCATATCGCTTTTAGAGGCAGTAGACATTGCATCTTGGCGTTGGTCGGATGTTCCAGATGCGCCACTCCAGTCGCTGCCTGAGTCCGGAAAAGGCTCTTCATCACTCGAGCTTGATAAGTATGCTAATGCACGCAGTTCATCTTCACTAAGCACTTTGGGATTCTTAATTCTAAGCCGCTTCGGTGCCGAAGGGCCTGGAGTTGGACTCTCGGCAATTACAAAAAAAAAATGAAACGAAAACTCGAACCACACAGCAAAACTCTTGAACAAAACTCTTAAGAACGTGCTCCCACGAAATCATAAGGCTAACTGCCGTGCGCATCGATTGTCATGTAGGTATATGAGAGAATAAACACCAGGCCGCCACTTGTGCGTCGAGAGCAGCGAACGTGTTAATTGCATAGTAATATATAAATTACGGAATACATTTATTCCTTTTTCCAGCAAAATATAGACTCTATCAAACATATTTTTTATCTACAGAATAATGCTATCTCAGTAAACATTATGTATATCTGAGTTTTGAGTGCTTCGCCTACGTAGTATTTTGTTATTTTATTTTTGTGTTTTCCAAGATTTCGTACTGACAAAAACCCGTTGGAAAACCTTAACAAACAATATTACACACGTTGAACGAGACGTAAACAGAAACAAACCAAACAAGAAATAGAAATTTATGTAGACGCACCCATCCGAAACATTCACATACTTTTTATTCTACGTTGAGCAAAATCCATTTGATTCCGTTTACCCTGGTTTGAATTATTATGACTCTACATAAAGAATTTACGGTGACTATCTGCAATGACTAAAGCCATACCTACTGAAGATTGCTAAAAAGTATGTAACAGTATTGTATACAGTCTTGATCACAGAGACGAACAGCAGACAGCTTCTATTCAGCCTGTATTTATGCAACTTTTGCTTAGTACGTCAAAGCTGGTAGCATTATGAGTACTTAGTACCATGGGTGAGGAGACGCGTAGGTGGGAGACGATAACTGATCGCTTTTTTGCAAACTGTAAAAATGTAACAAAGCCCTTTATGTTCCACATATTTAATTTTAAAACATACAGAAGCTGTAGTGAGCTTTTCAAATGAACCACAAAGTATGAGCCCTGCCATATGACACAAAAGCCCCACAAATAAGTCAGTCTCAGATAAACTTACATTAGCCTTGCTCTAGGAACATCAAATTATCTGCCTGAAGGGAATGATAGCAGCAGGTATACTATGTTCTATCTATTTCTGATCACCAGAGGTTGGCTGTGGAACAAAGTACCCTACTCTGGTTATTGAATTTTCCAAAGTGCTCGACACAGTTGAATCATGTAGATATCCATAATGGCCGTTTTGTTTGAACATACATACAAACCGTCATACTTTTCACAAGCCGTCATTTTATTTTGATGCCACAGTGTAATCAGATTGTAATCCGGCAACACCGCCTTGTTTTCCATTCTTTTGTGTGAATGGGCGAACTGCCTCCAGGACCGACAGTGTTGTCGACGAATAAACTGTTCGTTGCACGCCCGGGTGATTCAAATGAACCGAACACTCACAAAACCATCACAAACGTTGTATACGGCTGGTTATATTTACAGAAACGGAAAAACAAACAAACCCTATTCAGCCAGTGACGATGACTGAAAAGCCAAGGACATGCGGAGTATTATTTATTGGTACTCTTGCGGTAATAATGACGCCCACATCTACGCTCTGATAAATTGCCCTATGAATAATAATGAAAATTTAGAGAAATATGAAACAGGAATTTTCCCCAGACCTGGCAACGTTACTACAACCCTGTTGCGATAGCTATTACCATTCGTAGCCGTAAATTTATCTTACACAAAAGGTGATTACCAGGAATTGTGAAATATTTCGTTGGAAGACAAACGCCAATGCAATTCCCAGTTCTGTACTTCTAGAGATTTACGACTCTATTTTTCTTGGCGGGGTTCCTGATGAAATTCTACATTACGCCGAGCAACAAAGGGATGAAAACGTCATATACAAATTGTTGAGAAATATTCTGCATTTTGTCATCCAGCATGTAAGTGAAATTGCATTTGCATATGTAGGTGCTCGCAACTACCTGTTTTTTTGCTGTTTGCAGGAATTTAATGCCTTTAAAATGCGGGATACTAAAGCCAGAATCGCAGAGTTCCGCCTGACAAATAGTGTTCCATCCGTCAGAGGCAGAGAGAGCCTAATTCTACGCCCAAAGACTCCGGCATCAGAGCCTTCTTCAGTGACCGAGCCGTCCATGTACCAGACCTGCCCACTCCCTTCAGAGTCCAGACTTTCTACATTTCGGAGTCCTGCTCCGCCATCGTTGGATTCTCCACATTAATCTTGCGGTTGAAGCGATATTAACATAACATTTAACATAACTTCTCGCTTATTACTACATTCTTTGGCATCCTCCGATAACTCAAACTGATGGGCATTTTTGTAGCATTTTGTCACCTTCTTTTCGACGTTTCGTCAAATAACATTCTTTGCTTTTTGAACGTCATTATGTTTGAGACCGCCAACAAACGTTAATGTGGTCATAAAAAAGCGAAAGCTTACAACACCTGTGTATTAAAAACAAATTGCTAGATTGATAACTTTATATATTTCTCAATCAAGGGTTAAACCGCGGAGTACGAGTATTATCATACAGCAGTGAAAGCTTTGGACTGATGAAAATTATGGTCTGGCACCAAAACAGTAGAGCGTAGCATCACATGTCAATTACCACTGATATGGTGAGATCTGCGAGCACCAACTTTGCTGATACAAAGACACGCTGAGTAAGCAGTGGCGTATGATGTCGTGTTTCAAAGTATCGAAAAACTGCACATAATGGCGAGTTTTAGGAAAGTACTGCACAATCCGGGGAAAGTATGTAGTAGAAGTCTAGCATTGACCTTAAATTCCTAGAAAGTAGCATAAAGCACTCCTTTCAAAGTATCTCACATTATTTATACTGTAGGAAGATGTGCGTCGTGCTGACTGTAATAGAATTATATGAGACTCAAATCATGCAGGTGCATTTAGCAGGCATGTAGTAAGGTGGACGGTTATAATTGTAAGACAATTTTGTAAGAGCCTCTTATGGAAGTGTCACCGACACGTCGGTGCTTTTTCTCCCACAAATTTTAACGAACCTTTTCAAAAGGCCCAGCAGAAACTTTATAATGAATGGCTTTCGTCTGTTCTTATCAATTTAGAATGTTGTACTTCACAACACTTAGAAAAACGTGTCCATGGATCCAAGGTTGTTCTATTTTCCGAGGTACATGACTTCCAAGCTGGGCATCCATTGTAGGGCCCGGAAAATTATGTCTTATAGCTGTTTGGCTTTTTTACTTACGTCATTTGATTAGACACAGGTACAGGGTGACGAAAACTTGCAGGGACGGAGCACTCCGGGTCACAATCATTTTTTTAAAATTGTTCAGGATGATCCTGTGGGAACAAAAATGTAAAGCATAATACTGGCCGCCCCACTACTGAGCTGAATGTTGAAGTTGTTTCTTATATATATATATATCCATATTTTTATTTTCTACGCCACTGGCGTGGAAGTAAAGTGTTTGAAACTGAGACGAGTTTTTTAAATGTTATATGTCACTCACTTCCGTCGGCCTGAGTGTCTTTGGATCTGTCTGTCTGCTAGTCCTTTTTTCAGTTGATCCCTATCATTTTCAGAACAAAACTTTGCAGGGGGTAAGAATTGGATGATGAGGGCTGTAGGGAGTAGGTAAGAGTATATGCCAATTTTTCGGTTGTGGCAATTGACACATTTCTAGCCCCGATATTTCCACGCACCTACTACACATATTTCATAGTTTTCTCCATTTTGTCCCTAGGACTTGAACATATTGTGTAATCCCATATACTTTTTACATACATTTCCACAGGGACGATGCAGCGCCACCGTGTACATATGATAGCGGTGCAATGCTGGTGAACCGGCTAACAGGGATGATGATTTCTAGTTCCTATAACTATCAAGTAAGAATGTAGGGTATGTGGGGTATGGGTATGGACTGGCCAGCTTGAATGCCCTGTATGTCGGAAACTACCTGAGGAAAACTTTGACCCAATGAACTTTATTGTTCTAGGTACATATTGAGCTCTCCAATAAAGTTTCTGAAGGGTACTTGTTTGTTATGACATTTTATTAGATTTGATCATGACAAGTTACAGAATCTTTATCTTACATTATTTGTCAAAGCTTTACAGGTATTTTTGTTGTTTAGTTTCAGCTTAAATAACAAAAATCAGCTAATTAGCTTGCTCTCCCACTGTCGAGTTTTTCTTGAAGAAGCTAATAATTTTTCCATTGTCTTTCAGAGTCCTTAAGTCCGGATTATCCAATCTTCCTCCAACCTAGCTCTCATCAGTCTTGCTTCCCCGATATTTCGATATCATTAAAAGAGCTTTTCCAACTCCTGCATATTGACTATTGTATTTAGAATTCGACAATTTTGTAGGTCACACCACACCGCTGGATAGCACCTGGAAATATCTCCAGAATTTCCATACAAATCTCAGTGTTTATTTCCAGAATGGGTTTTTTTAAATGGAATATCTAGAAAGTACATTACAAAATTATTATAATTGTCCAGTATGTACAATAACCAACCAACTGGAAGATTTGATGATTACATTACCTTTACTCGCAATTTTCTGATGTTAACGTATGGTCATTCTCGGTAATTCCAATCTTCTATTAGACATATTTCAAAGATACTAGATGTTCACCTTCATTTGCCCTTGAAACGATAGATAAATGTTTTCGCCAGTAGTCCCTGTGTCTGCTGTGTGGCTTCGTTGGGCGGCAACCTGTCATCATAAGTGTCATCGTATGACTTGCGCTGTGTCGCGTATGCCACATCTGGCGCGTAGAGGTATTGGGTAGAGGCGACGTTGCCAGACGAACTGTACTATGGGTATGGAGTAATTGAATGGAACTGCTTGACGGACTTGATCCGTTTAATTTCGCTGATATACATCTTCGTAGCTAACTTTATTCCAACTTGAACATGCTGCTTCCGTCCGCCCGATCAAAGACAACCATGAATACAAGGCTTGGTCTCTGGAAGAACAAACAAAAGCATAGAAACTATAATAGTCTAGGACAGGGCCTAACTTATGCTGTTGACGGTGTTGCATGAGAAGTGCAGAGTGAACCTGCACGATGCCATTTTTTATCATGACTATTGAAACTTGGTTGTAGCATAAAAGTACAATGCAACTTAGGAGAGTTAGATTGTTCATGTAGAGTATTTTCCCAAGAGGTTATTCAGGGATCGATCAGCTGCCCCAACTATTCAAAAGGTGAAGTATCCAGCTCAGTTTCTTTTACATTAGGATAGATTCTTGTATTGGTAGAATACCTGAAGCAGTGCCA